AAACAAGAGTCGCAAGACGAACCTAGTTATGACGTATATGATCGCTGGCCATCCTAGTTTTGCCCTCCCAACGACGATTAGCCGGTGGTCTTTTGCGAGATTGAGGATAACGTCTCAAACAAAGAGCTGCTTGTTCAACGCGTGTGAAGACTGCGTTGGAGAGAGCTACTTTACTCGCTGCAAAAGCGCTGACCACGGTGTACCGAGCGCTCTGGATGAAGGTCGGGTTCTCTGTGGTCTCTCCGTGCGTAAACATGAATTAACACAGAGATCGAGAAGCTCTTGAGAGCATATATATTCACTTCTTGAAATATGCTCCAACAGCCTTCGACGAGGCACGGCCTGCTACGATTTAAATCGCAATGATCATGACGGTAACATTTTCTTCAACTTGGCATTGCCATTAGAGTCGTAGCTCCGATCACGATACATCGTTGATCCCGGAAGCAGAACACGGAGTTGGGATAAGTTCTGTCAGGTATTCGGCTCAAAAGACTTTATTTCTTACCCTGAGATCAATGGCGCCCGAGATCTCGTTGAGCCTGGAAGCACTTTGCCGAAAGGCGTATCGATAATGTACGCTGTCCCGCTATCCGGAAGTTGAGGGGAGTTGATACTCGACGCATATTTGTGCTGACCCGAACAGGCCAAACGGACGGACCTAATATCATTGTGATCGGAGCTATTACTTAGTAGTGTTGGGCTGGAAGAAGTGCGGCATGTTGACGTCGCGGGACTCTACGTAATGGAAGTTGCAAGGCTCTATTCTTCCCGAGTCAGCTGATGCCTTTCGATGTCTGATTCTGGGTTCTTTGCATGCTATCTGTATGATGAAACGAGCCTTCGAATGGAAGGTTATGTGTGGTACATACCTCCATCTAGAACATGCTACAGAAAGCCAAAAGATCCCCGACATCGTGAAGCATAGTAATGAACTCTCATCAGGCGACGATATTCTCACTATTAGCATTCAACGGCGGCATCAAGTGTCCTTCGTTCTATGCTTCCAGCAATCGGTCGTTCAGCCGTCCATCCGAAGTAGAAAGACATCTATGCAGAACTCCAGATCCAAGACCAGCTATTGTCTACAGCTCTTTCCTCCTCTCCTCAACCCACTCTCTGTCTTCCTCTGCGAGCCCCGCTTCGAAGCGCTCAAATACACTGGTAGCCTCGGCGAATTCTCTCTCTACAATCTCCACGATGTTCTTATTCCGCGGGGTTATTGAGCAAGTGAATTTGGGTGAAGGGACGATTCCCTGCGAGCGTAGAAAAATGTGCACATGATGAGAAGCGGAAGATATGAACAAGGCAAGGTGCTGTACGTACCACTTCGTACGCATTGACGTCTATCGAGATGTCATTCCCGTTAGTATCCTTCGCAGGACTGAAATTGAAAGCCCAGAGCAGATTCATAGTGTTGAGTGACTAAAGATAATGTTGATGAGTGTTGAATGAGTACAGGAAGTACACCATGAACTCACTGCATTGTTATGTCCGAGATCGGCACCCGGGCAAATTCTCTGAATGGTATGGTCAGCCGCTGAGCGTTAAATGAGGAAATGAAAGTAAGGCCTACCCTTCCAGATCCGAATACAAGGGTTGACCTGAACCCGTTGTCATCGACACCAGGTTTAGTACCGTGTTCGGTGAGAATGTATCGATCCGGCCAGAACTTTTCGGGTTCGTCGAAGTAGTCTGTTTTTCGTGTCAACGAAGGTCAAGGACGAGGATGTAGATACAAGTGCGAAAGAGAACTCACTGGGGTCATGAAAAACACCGTCTGTACAACAGATAGGGTACGTTAACGTTCGAAGCTCTTGGGTTTCTAGACGTACATAGGTTTTGATAGATCATAGTCCCCGTGGGCAGTACGTATCCTTTGTACTGTGGACATTTCCCCGTTCCGCATCAGGTACTTGCTCACAACCAACATGGTCATGGAGTTGAAAGGCCTACCTCTTCATCAGCAGTCGTTGCGTGAGGAATCGACAGTGGAACCGGAGGCCTCATTCGGTATACCTACGTTTATCATTGTATTAGAACAGAAAGGATGTCAGCGAATTGTAGGGTACGAACCTCGTTCACAACAGCTCTAACATAGGGGAGGTCCTCCAAATCTTCCATCCTCGGCGCCCTATCCTCCCCAATAACACGATCGATCTCCTCCTGAGCTTTCTTCTGTGCCTCGGGGTAGACCGAGAGGAATTGCATGAGGAATCGAATGTAGGCCGCGGAAGATTCGGAACCGCCTTCTAGGAGAACGCCTGCAAGAGCACTATTTACGCAAATCTGAGCAAGGTTGACCCCACAGCCCAGAGAAGAAGGAAAGACGTACCCGACCAATTCCCTGCTCATATCAAATTCCTTCCTCTTCTTCAAAACTTCTTCCACGAAACTATCGTTCAGAACCGCCCCTTCCACGCCCCTCTCTGCCTTATCCATCCGATCCTCACACTCCTCAATCAATCGGAAGTATAATCCGTGTTGCTTCTCGCGAATTTTCTTCGCCAACTGCTTCCATGGTGCCCACTTCTCCGGGATAAGCTCTACGATGGGTCCTAGGGCCGGGTAAAAGTCAACGGGAGGCTGCTTGGCATTCCCGAGATCGAGTGCGTCGAACCACAAAGCGTTGATTTCGTAGAACGAGCGGGATTCGTAGGAGTCAAAGCGAGGGCAACGTTTGCCGAAGAGAATCGACATGATGACGGAATTCGAGTAGCGCCCCGTGTGCTCCCAAAATTCCTACAAATGAAGTGGGTGAATCCCTAGTGACTCGAAGTCAGTGACCCACCGCCTTACCTGGGGTGTTTGGATCAAATCGTATACGAGCTGGATGGATTCAGCCATTTGAATAGGAACGTGGTTGACAACGGCTGTAGAACTGAGAATTGCATGCGCGGCTTTTCGTTGTTTCTTCCACTCTTCCGCTGTTCACCCGAGTCAGTTTGTTGGCCCGATCCAAAGGCAATGCGACACTCACTGTACCGTCCAAAAGCCAAATGCAGTCCATCAGTGATGGTTTGAACCATGTAGCTGTCAGGCCTATCCGCCGTCGTTGCGCTCCTTTTGTCAAGAATTTCCTTGACAGAGTCGATTCCGCTCAAAACGACAATGGTCTTAGGACCGGCTTTGAGGGAGTATATATCTCCGTATTGGCGAGCCCATTCGGTGAACCTGGCCAACAGGATAGGAGAGAGTTATCAGTACAATGGAAAAAACCGATGGCGATATGGAGGCGAGACGTGCGAACGAAAGATAAACCGAAACGAAAAGCATACACCCAGATCCAGTATTACTCACTTTATTTGCGGGTCTTTGAGAGGCATGATATGGATATTTCCGATCAACGGCTTGGTGGGAGGTCCCGGAGGGAGATTGGCATCTCGCCGGCCAACTCTCCATAGTCTGGTCACGACCCAGATAGCTAGACAGACGAGGGCTGGAAAAGCGAGAGCCATTTTGGCCTTCGAGGTTGTGGCGGATGGGTGGATGGGGAGAGGATATGTGACTCAGGATAAGGATGGGTGATGTGAACGGGGGGGAAGAAGCGGGGAAGTGCGAGTACGTCCGTGGATGCGCCAGGTTATAGGCATCACGTCTAAAATACCGCTTATCCATTGCGGGACACCAGGTGAGCACTAGGTGTTGATCTTGTAGTTGATCGTACTCTGGACTGCTCTGATGTGACAAACTTTGCGTATGTTAACAGAAGGATCTGGGTTCCTTTTTACCAAGAACTCGTTGGCGTTTTCGAGGGTCCTGATAGGATAGAACAGCAAGGTTGAGACTTGGCGCCGACCTGTAAGAGCACTAGATAGCAGTTGGCCCCTTTCTCCCCGCCCTGAATAGCCTGGATGACAATATCGGTATACAGAGGAAGCACGAGGTCTGACATTAGGGACGGAGTGCGGGAATTCGGTACTATCCACCGCGCGCATTGGTGATCGTGATGAAGCGAGGTCCGAGGTCGTGGCAGGTGTAAAGAGGAAAGCTACGTCCGATATCGGTGCTTCGAGCCAAAGATCGCAGAATACTTTGTTGTCTATTCCAAAGCCAAAGTAATCGAAGTCTTGAAATTCGTGCCAAGTTCAAGAACGTTTGAACACAGTGGTGCAAGGAAAAGTCCTCGTGTGACACGTTCCCTCACGACCGTCACTTTGTCGTGACATTTTGGACCAGTTTGGACCATCATCACGACTCATTCGACCTCTCGCTTTTTTGCTAGCTCCCGTTCCTGCTCCCTCCTTTTTACTTCAAGGCTCAACTACCGCTGTCGCCATCCCGGACATCTCGAATGTAAAATGGACAAAGATGGATCTTTAGGATAACGGATTTCTACCATCTGGTGGTGAGTGGGTTTATCTGACGAGCTCAAATAGTCGAAAAATGGCCGGATTCCAAGGTGCGGTCAACTATTCTAGAGCATCCCAAGACCAAAGGTCCTCTTTATTCTCCTCAATAAACTCCCTATCATTCTCTGTCAGCCTGACCTCAAAGCCCTACGGTATGGAACCTATTCGAGACTTCAAGCGAAGCATAAGAGCTCAGTGATAGTATGCTAGATCTCAAGATCGATGGATAGTACAAGGCAGAAGGATTCAAAAGACGTACAACTCTCGTGCAACGATACACACGCACCCCTCGCCCTCGCGTCTCACGACCCTTACGATCTCGAGTTTGTAGAAGCTTTGGATCCAAGGAAGTCCTTGGTTTCATCACTACGGCTCAGGCTGGAAAGAAGCGTGTCAGGATCGTAAGTAATATGTGATGTTTCTTTCCACCCAGGCCTATCAATGGGTCTCAAAGACGAGCGTGCGCCCCATTCCTGTATCATTATTCTCGATGACGAAGCCTTGGTCGGCATCTAGCATGTTGGTAATCGTGCGGCGAGAAACTGACTGGGGCTGCGAATCAGACGAAACAAACGATATTAACTGAAATATTTGATAGCACCCTCGGTCGGCAGCTCTCGCAGAAGCTCGTTGGCTAGCATATACATAGGCCTGATGGTCTAGTAGTATGATTCCTTGTTAGGATTCACGATCTGTGGGTTTCTCGAGGAGGTCCCGGGTTCAATTCCCGGTCAGGCCCTAGAAGACGACAGTTAAGGCACTTTTTGCCTCCCTTGTATTACCAGTCGGAGCTCGGTCAGCGCCAGTAGCGCAACCGCCACCCAACGAGCCCGACCATTGACCCAACAAATTCGTGAATAGCAATTTAACGACATTTCGATATACATAGTCTTCGCCGCTATAGACCGAAGATATGTTTATCATGCTTCTAACGTTGTGCATTGAACCAGACGTACGAGTGACCCGCCTGGACCTAGTTTTGGCCTCTCGCAGCATTGTAGCTACGCGCAACAACACCGTACTCGGGGAAATGCCTAAGGGGCTTCAGTTAGTACTACAACGCACAGTAGTTGAAAAAGGACGTAATTGTCGAAGAAAGGTATCAACTCTAGTGCCCCGGGAGTCGAGACGTCGACCTCCAGTCCCTCATAAGATCAGCAGCAATAGCAAATAACGAGAGGTTCTGGACACCCGCATCCCTCATACGATCGTTGGCTTCCTTAGCCACACGCTCGCTATACGTTCCCGAAGCTTGGGAATTATGAAAGACGGTGTATCCTGCTTCACGGAGGGACAAGGCGAGGAAAGCAGTGCAGACCTACGGAATATTTCGATAAGCGAGGGGACCACGAAAAGAGAAAGATGGATTAGGAACGAGGCAGGGGGAGGTACACTCACGTCGGTTGCGATACTGGCGATAATCACTTGGGTCTTGCCCGTAGCGTTAACGGCTGCACGGAATTCGGCGTTGTCCCAGGCGTCGACTTCTCCCGGGCGTTTGATCAGCGGAGCATCAGGGTGCAAGTCCAGGATCTCCTTCAGGATAGGTCCATTAGGGCCTAATTAGAGTTTTGGGGGAGGTTGTCGAGTAAATTAAGTATAACATAGCCAGAAGAATGATGCACACCGGTCTCGGAGCTCGATTTTATCACCGTGGGTAGGTTAAACACTTTGGCGATCTCGGCGTGTGCGAGAACGTTGTTCTTGAACTGAACGGGTTCATAGTCCTTTACGAGGTTGAAAAGTCCAACCTGGTGGTCGACGATAAGGAGGACTGTGTTATTTTTGTCGATACGATGGAACGTGTACCCGAAAGCTGTGATGACACGGTTCAGTCGCGGGTTGATTTTGGACCTTGGAGACCATGGAGAACGGAGGTAGCAAGGAAGGCAACTGATAGATGCATGGTGCAAAGTTGAGGAGCAATGGCTGAAGGAATTTGTATCCATTTCGAGGCAAATGATGTTATATGACCATCCTGTCCTATTCTGGCCTCGCGGGTCGGATAGGGTGAGCGTTTTAGAAATTTCGATGAGTAAAACCCAGCGTTCTGGCGGCTCGGTTCGATCTCGGATGCGGAGAGTTTTCGAAGAATTCTAGAACTTCAGGTGGCCGCCGATCCTTGAAATCGTTGTCAACTAGTAGTGACTCACCGACAGTATTGCTCTGGAGAATTCTAGTAAAAAAACTCCACTACCTCGAAGCTGGCAGCCTAGCACAGGATCCCAGAGCGATCAATGACTTAAATGACCATAATCAGTTGGAATATCAGCTATCAGGTAGGCTGTTTCACGATCATCAGAAGATCACTTCCTTCAAGGTGACATACTCAATTCGATAGTCCTTGTAACAACGCAAATCGGCATGGCAGGTGACCCATCCTGGATGCGGATGGCATCGAGTATGGAAGACCGCCCGTCATCCGCACCTGTACCTTATCCACTCGAGCCACTAGGCCACGCGAACGAGGGTAATGTCGCAGAAGGGAAGAAAATCTTTCCCGAGCGGATACGGGCAGAAACTGATGATCCGTTCAGAATTCGTTCAACTGTCGAGCCCGAATCCTGTCAGATAGGTGCTTGAGTCAACAGTATGAGATCGACCTACTTTCAAAAACACTTATCCCCAGCCTACTTGACCGCGTCTCGCTTCCAAGTATCTGGCAATGCCGGGGATTTGAATTTTGATCGTGGTCGACTTAGTCAAAAAGTATGACAAGCTTGTGACGTTCTATGTGTAATACTGTGACACCGTGACATTTCCCGAATTAAGTTGCACCTACCATCACCCCACGCCATCTTCGCTCTTGTGCTCGATGCTGTTTATCGGGCTTCAGACAAAACACACAAAATGGGTATTTTAGATATGTAACCTTTCTCAACTTAACCCTTCTCGATGGTGATATGGTACTAGGCTAACTTTACTTTCTTGACAGATACAACGCATCGGATGGCCCGGGGTTCCGCTTGTATAGAGTTACGACGCCGTATACGGTGAAGAAGTTTTTGCTTCATGGAGTCCATCCGACATCGCTCTCACTATGGTGCTTGATTTATCTCCCGCTGTTGCTCCTTGGCGTTAGGAGAATGACTGGCTTAGACACCAACTACTTTGTAGGAGCTGAGCTTGCAGCAGGCGTGCTCGTTATGTACAAGCCACTCGCATCTCTTATCAACATCTTTCGAACAACGTGAAGATTTAGCGTGTTGTAGGGGTCCAAGACATTGACAACGCAGTAGCCCTACTCTCTGTCGCTCCGGTTCAATCAAACTTACTAGTAGTTTCCGTGGCCACAGTCTTGCTAGACTTTACTGGGGGAGATGCCAGTCGTCGTGCAGAATTCATTAAGAAAGTTGACTCGGCTCACTAGGCGTCTGATACTTGGCTTGTGCGGCATCGACATTTATCGTACCTTGCGCACGCTATCCTCATGCACCAGCCCTTTCTGACCTAACCTTGGCGCACAAGACAGCGGCTCTACATTTTAGGGCTTCTTGTTCTCATGAGCAGGCCAAGTAGCTTGCAGAAAGCCTTTCATACGCCCTGTAATTTGGGACATGTTCGCGATACACGTCAGGTCATGAATCACGGAAGGTCTCCAACTCCATTGCTCTCGACGTCTGTGGTAACCCGTTGTTCTAAGAAAGAATAAGTGTGCTGCGGTGGAAAGACGCTTTTCTACTTTGAAACCCATTATAACGTACATCTCCTCAGTCTCCAGTTTACATTGCTCGCGAAACCTTCCATTGTAATCTTGGGAAACATAAGCCATTACTGAGGAAACAAATGGCCTTTTACGAGAGCATCTCTTTATTGCACGTTGAGGCCCTTAAGCTCCATGGTTTACAAAGCTATGTGTGCCATGTAGAATTCCCCCTTCATGTATCTGCAGAGCTGGAGGTAACAGAGTCTTGTCATTCGGACCGCCACCTGATCCGATCCTTTTCGATCTCTGGATTTATACAGAGGGTCCCAAGAGGCATCCCTCGCGGAGAATACCAGGAGGACTCTTGGTCTACTAACAACCATCTCGACACCTCGATCTCCCGGCGTCGACAATCACAAGCGCGTGCTCTCTACCCTCGTACTATTGCATTGGCCAGGTGTCGACAGTACAAGCCAATATCCTGGGTGGCCGTTGGCGCAGCTCGCGCATGGCGTTATTCTCTCTGAGCTGACAAGCTGACATGCAGTCTACCCTTTTCTTGCTGGGGTTACAACGATCCTCGTACGATGACTGTACCTTGACTGCCGTCAGAACCGTAACTCATACCTTCACTCACAGTAGCGACCGACTCGGACACTTTCTTCTCAATACTATATCATATTGAGCCTCCCGTGTTACCTATAGAACGGGTCTTCCCTTTTAGTGGCGCTATGGAAACACTACTAGTACATAAGGGTCTTGTTACTGTTGAAGTCCATTCGAGTATTGTCTTGTCCGTCGCCTGTCTATTCCAACCATTACCGACAAACCCGTTCTGTGTCTATCTCCGAGGCGACTCTTTGAATGAAAGGGTCCACTCCTATGTAGACTCTAGTAAGGCTTCACTCGGAAATCCAACATCCATGGCCCTTTGACCTCCCCGTCTTCCGGAAACGTGAACGTACTTATACTTCCCCCCTCTTCCTCGAAACGTGGATTCATACATAGACAGGTACACGACATGGACCTACTATGATACGAGCTACCGTGGTACAAAAACCTAAAAATACTCATTTACCCCGCCACCCCACGAGTTTACTCTGCGACATTCAAAGCCCATTTGAGTTATCCGGTAAGTTGGTACCGCAGTTTCGGTGCTACCACTAAAGTCTACTCTACTCTATGGACTACCAAAGCTTTGACGTATGGTACTACGTACATTGAATACCGGGACCCGCGGGGACTTGTCTACTCCTTTTATTTACGCGGTTTATCCAGGGAATATGCAAACCTGCGCTCAGCATTCAATCCATGGTCCGTGCTCTCGACCCCCGAAATTGAAAGCTTGGCTTCTTGAAGTAGCCATCAAAGACCTTGGGTCCAGCGTGTGGATCACTCGTGAGAGCGGTTATGAAGGTTTAGCCATCCCTATCCTCTAATGATTTATCCCATAGCGAAGAACTACGTCAAGGAAGTTCGGGTATCCCAGTCAACGCTCGTAAAGACAGCATCTCCCGTTGCCGGCGGAGCTGACTGATGTTGCTGCTGAACCGACGATCCTTGCGAATGTAAGTGAATGATGGCTCTGCAGCCCTTGAACGTATCGCGTGTGAGAGCAGTGCCAATTGAATGTACGAGAATATGACATACTGCCCGTGAGGTCACTGAAACCAGTAGCCTAGGAACGTGGCCCGAGTCAATATCGATCCATGGCAATACACAACGCGGTCAACTCACGGGAAGACAAACAACGACAGAAATCCCAGACTGTAGAGCCCAACCACCATGCTGCTCACTAGTCCTTGAAGAACTCTCGGAGTCAGATTGTAGATTAAGAAAGGCTTACACACAAGGTTACTGACCGATGACAGCAAGGAACACGAAAAACGCGTCTCGATTGAGTATACCGCGAAGGTTCCGAGTCGAAACATCGTGTAGTCGGAATGTCTTGAACAGCGTCAAGCCAAGCAGTACTCCCTGAAAGGCTATCTCTCCGATGCTAACTTCGCGTAAGTGCACCTTGTTGTGAGACCAAGAAGCTACTCACACAAAAACAGCAACTTCTGGGTTTGTGTGAAGCTTTCCGTGTGTGG